ACCACAAAACTTAGATGAAACAAGATCAGAAAATTGATGAAGATATTTATGACAACTGACATTATATAATACTTTTGTACGATTTTATATCTTCATTTATTTATTTATAATGTTATAACCTTTAACATGTTGTCTTTCAATATATTCATTAATTAATTCATTTTTTTATTACTCATGTTCGTTTATTATAGATATCATGCCGAGGAAAAAAATAAATGATTTGTGGTTGTTCGAGCTTCTGAAGACCATGAAGAAAGAAATAACGAGGAATCGAATGCACCTGAGTCTTCTGAAGTTCCGAAAACTGTTGAAGAAGATGTTGAAATTCAAAGTAATCTTCGAAACATTATTTATTACTTTGTTCATTTTCAAAACTGAAATTTAATAATTTCTTATATAGTTGAAAATGCTGGAACACGCAAGACTCGAGGACGTACAACTTTGAAGGAATTATACCAACTTCCTCCTGGGCATCGTGTCAAAGTTTCAAGAAACGATGCCGGTCAACCTATTGGCCCAGAATCACGTCTTCTAGCAGGTTACTTAGGCATAGTTGGACGTAATGCGAATCTGTTATCGATCAATTACGAGTCATGGCGCGAAATGCCTAATAGTAACAAAAATCAAGCGTTGGATTTTGGTAAGGTAATAATGTCATTATAATACATACTCTATAGAAATTCAATACTAATTTATACTTACGGTGCACACTTATTTGCTATATAGGAGAAATTTTCTTTAGAGGTCTCTGACGATTATGTGAAGCAAACGTTAGGGAAGAGATGGAGGGATCACAAGAGCTCCTTAAAGAAGAAATACTTCAAGAATGATCTCAGCCTTGAAGAGAAGTTGCAAACAGTCCCACCAGGAATGCTCAGGTACCAATGGACATGTATGATGTATTTTTCAGAAATAATTGTAACGAATTGTAAATCATCATTAAAAGTGGTTGTTTGACATTGTAGGACCGAGAGCATATTGGTGTTGCTAGCAGACAACAACAAAAGTTTATGCACACGGCTGGATCGAAGAGTTTTGCTTGTATAGCTCATGAGGAGGTATTATAGATTATTGAAATAGTTTTTTGTATTCCATGTACATACTAACTCATAGTAATTATATTATGGTACATTGTAGGAAAATACATCCGGTTCTAAAGTTGGTCGAATCTAACTCTTCGACATGACACATACGAAGAATGATGGCACTCATATGACTGCTGATGCTGCAGAAATTATGGTACGTTTTTTGGGTAGATGTTTTAAATTTACCTGACTTTATTTATATTTGTACCATGACATTTTTTATTTTAATTAATTATTCACTTTATTAGGAAAAATTGAGGGAGAAAAAGGCAGAGTATCATGTTACTGCTTCGAGTCAAGGTATTGTTAATGATGATGACATTGAAAACCAAGCTATTAATGACGTTTTGGGTCCTGAAAGATATGGTTGGGTGCGCTGTCAAGGATCATCCGTTACTCCCACCAAATATTTTGGATCCAGTTCATCACAGTACATGTCATCATAGTCTTGATCTTCCCACCAAGAAGTTTGTCGTTTAAAAGAAAAGTTGGCTAAGATGGATCAATAAATGGCTAACTTGAAAGCGGAAAATGAAGCAAGGGAAGCAAAGAGAACAGTAGCAGAAGTAGCCAGAGCAGCAGTGGAAGCAGAGAAAGAAGTAGCGGCAACACAGAGAGAAGCAACGGCAGCACAGAGAGAATCAACATATCAACTGAGATGTGAAGAATTTGAAAAACGACTCAATGATACGATGTTGATGATTCAGAAAACGCAACCTCAGAATCCACCATTGTAGTCTCATTTATGTTATGAGCATTCTACTGAACCTTGTTTAACTAAACTTATATTACGTTAATGAAAACTTTTATTTATTATATTGGATTTGATGTTGTTTGTTATGGATATAGAGTTTGATGTTATTATTGTTTTGTTTGTTAGATAATGAAACAGGTTGAAAAAATAGTTTTGGGGTATTCAAGCATAATTTTTAGGACTATTAAATTCTGTGTTATTTAGCGGCGTTTGTAACAAAAAATGCGCAATATACCATACATTTAGCAGCGTTTATATCCGAGAAACGTCGCTATATATAGACCTTTACCGGCGTTTTTAGCAACAACGCCGCAAAACATCAATACCTACTGCGGCGTTTGTGAGAAAACGCCGCAAAACATCAAAACCTACTGCGGCATTTGTGGGAAAACGCCGCAAAATATCAACACCTACTGCGACGTTTGTGAGAAAAACGTCGCAAAACATTAACACCTACTGCGGCGTTTTAGAGAAAAACGCTGCTAAACATCATAACCTATTGCGGCATTTGTCTAAAAATTGCCGCTAAATATCAAAACCTATTACAGCGTTTGTCACACAAACGCCGCTAAATATCAATACCTATTACGGCATTTTTTGTTAAAAAAATGCTGCGAACTTTAGCTGTGCTATTTTCAACGGCTGTTTTCGCGGCGTTTGTCTTAACGCCGCATGCGTTTTTAGCGGCGCTTATAAATGCCGCTAAAGGTTAAAACAAACGCCACAAAAAGCCTGTTTTGTTGTAATGAGGCTTTAAATTTCATAGAAAACATTTACTTGATATGATTCTTAATTCACGTCTTCTACTAAATTTCTTTGTAAATGATTGGAAGTATTTAAAATAGATAATACTTTATAATTATTTAATTTAATAAAAAAATTCTCTCTAAATAAAACGGAAAAAAATTTGGTGAAAGAGTTTGAGTGGAGTCGATTGTTGAGATAATTAATTAGACTTGATTTAGTTCTTATAATATTTTATTCTAATTGAAATTGGTAATATTTATACTATATATGAAAAGAATGATTTAGTTGGTATGTAGCTTTTAGGACCAATGACAGATTTTAAAATGTCCTACAATAATAGAATTCGTCATCAATTATTTTTAAGATGAGATTAAAACTTAAAATTAAATAATTTAATAAAATAAATTTTATTAAAATATCAAAGTCTTTGTTATTAGAATAATAATATTAATAATAATAATAAACAAGTTTTGGAGTCTATTGCGTGTAGGAAAAGATTAACACCTTATAACACCCAAAACAAATACCTAATCAATTATTTATTCTTTTAAAATTAAAATTACGAGTTCAAAGTTTTATTTAATCTGTGACTCATTATTTATACATATTTCAAAAGGATATTGATTTATTTTGAAATTAACAATAATCATCTCAGGCAAAAAGCTGAGATTATATTATTAATCCTAATAAATCAATATTGCATTAATAATTTGAAATCTAAGGTATGCAAAATTTAAAAAGATATTGATTTATTTCGAGAATGAATGATGGTCACCCGAATAAAAATGGAGATTATATCATTAACCTTTAATAAATGAATATTGCCTTTTTTTTTCAATCGTGTTATGCAATTAAACAACGAATTATTAAACGTAATTATATTACGTGAGCTAACTATTAAAATTATTTTAAAGTAGCGTTATCTTAGATATTTTTGGGGTTGAGACAGAATTTTTTTTTTTTTTTGGAATGGTATAAAGTGATTATATGGTAAAACTTTTTACAGTTTCTTCACATCCTGCACTCACAACTCTTTGCACTCAAAACCTTTAGAAAAGATAATACTCACATTTCTCATTTATTGGTAATGTTTAATCCCATATAGTATTAGAAACACTATTGGAATTGAGTATTTATAGTATAAAATTCTCACTTTCTTGTTGAGTGAAAGAGAACAAGGGGGACTCTCGCGCACCGCCGCCGCCGTCCGTCTCGTCTCGTCTCGGGTCGTGATCGTGGTCGTGGTCGTGGTCATCTAGACGTTTTTTGAGTCAGGTTCATCTAGACGTTTCAGCTGTTACAAAAGAAGAGATTTAATTCTGAAATTTTATAGACGATTTTAACCCTATTTCTAGCCTCTAAATAGAGGGTTATATTCAACTTCTCAACTCACTCTCAACATTCACAATTCACTCTCAAAGTGTTTTCTGCAATTATTCTTTCTGTGCTTTCCGATAAGAAGAGCAATACCATCGGCAGTCCACTACGATTTCGGGTGTACGAAATTCGAAGCGACCGTGTTAACATCGGGGGACGGTCTGCCTACTGCAGCGATTACACACATCGGGGCGAATTCGTTTCTAAGGCAGTGGTTATACCACGACATGGTTTATGAATCTGTTCCTTTTAATTACTGTTTATATTTCCAGTCAGTACTAACGGTGTAGTTTTGTAGTTCATATATCCAACATCACTAACACCACCTAATGAGTTCAAACATATTTCCAATTATTTTAAACCGTTAATTTAATATTTTATTGATAATTCATGGAAACATACTTATTTTTTATAAGAAAACCGCTAGTTTTATTAAAAAAATAAAAAATATATAATTACAATGAAGATTTACAAATATAATGTAAACATAAACAAAATTATAATTAGGATATTTTTTTATAACCATTAATACAAAAAGTAGTCACCTATATTACACAATGAACACTAAGATTTCCTTAATTAGGTAAGATAATATAATAAAATCTCTCAACCTAGATGACCTCTTAAAGCCCTCTTTCAATTTATACAAAAAATATTGGTCATAATCTTTTAGAGTGACAATTTTTTTAAAACAGAATAAAGTGAGGGTTGCGCCATCTATCTTCTAAACCCACCTCCCAACCGTACTAAGCCATTATTGCTGAAAGCAATACAGCTGTGCGCCACAGTCCCCACCAGTGAAATGGGAACACGTTGAGCACTCGAGCTTACAAGGTCATCATTGTCGACCGCCCCGCGATTCTTGTTGGGAACCGCCAGTCAAAAGAAAAAAAGCCTACGTCAGTCATCTACTTGATTATGATACTTTAATTTTTGTTTTCTGGGGCTATAGAAAAGGCTACATTGCCCCAGTACCACAAATTGTAAGAGCCTTTTATCATCTGTAGCTGTTTTTCTCTCCTCTAAGAGACAAAAACAAAGCATTTCTTGTCTGGGATTTGTTGCCAATTTTACTGTATCATACATATAAACCATGGTTACACCTCTATCAGCTTGGCCTTGGGAGAACCTGGGAAATTTCAAGGTACAAAAACAAGAAATTGTAGCCTGATTGCATTTGTTTTCAATGTTTTTACTGATTTTTTTCCTTGAAATTGTGTTCCGTGCACCCCAAGTATTTGCTATTTGGTCCTTTAGCGATGAAAGTTCTGCATTCGTGGATCTATGAGGGTACAATTGAGGATCACTGGTGTGTTCATGTACTCCTCATATGTGTTTTGAGAGGATTGATTCATCAGCTATGGAGCTCTTACGGTAACATGTTGTTCTTAACTCGGAATCGTCGGATTATACAGCAAGGAATTGATTACAAGCAAATTGACAAAGAATGGAACTGGTAATACTAATAATATATATATATATATGATCATGAGAATTCTATGTATTTGGTACAGTGTATAATTAATGAAATATTTTCAGGGACAATTTCATAATCCTTCAAGCTCTGTTAGCTTCCATGGCCTGTTTGGTCTTCCCATCTTTGAATAGGCTTCCTCTCTGCAACACAAAAGGGTTTATTACTTTACTGTTACTACACGTCGCCGTATCAGAGCCTTTATATTATCGGTGCCATAGGTTTCTCCATGAAAGCAACCATTTCAACCATTATCATTCACTTCACCATTCATCTCCAGTTCTCCATCCTTTTACAGGTAAATTTATTCACCGTCCTATAAATCTCATCCTTTTATTTACTATATAGTTTGCGTTTTTCTAAAATTCTTGCCGGTGCAGCCGGACATGCAACTTTTTTCGAGCACCTCGTGCTATGTATCGTGATTGGAATTCCGATGACGGGATCCATTACGATGGGGTACGGATCGACAAGCATGATCTATGGTTACTTTGCGGCGTTCGATTTTTTAAGATGCTTGGGGCATTCAAATGTTGAAGTTGTTCCACATGAATTGTTCAACAAGTTACCTTTCCTCAGATACTTACTCTATACTCCCACGTAAGCAATGACCCCTTCCTTCTCTTCCCATGCAATTAATGTGTTTTCAGAATTTCCTTTTAGAGTTTCTTTCTTTCCCCATCTTCTAGAGGGTGCCCAATTCTATTTTTAGACCTGGAAATTAGATGTTCATTTAAGTGCGGCCTTTCGGCCCACGTTTCGTGAACAGGAATTTATGGGTGTCGGAGATAATGTTTGCCAAAACATGCAAGATCCTATTAATTGATATGGAAAGCTTCATTTGGAGTTTTCCTTCAACGGAGTTTAATTAGCTTAATGAAATACGTGTTTGGTACCTAATCTTGAATGCTATGTCCAAAATAGCAGCTAATGAGGTTATTTCTTTATCATCAACCAATATTAGGTACAAAAAATATATATAAAATATATTTTCAAAAAAATATATGATAATTTAAAATTTCAAAGCGGTGACTACTAAATGAATCAAGTCGAGCTCGACTCGAATTGAAAAGTTTAAAGCTAAGCTCGATTTGACTCGAAAGCTCGCGAGCTTAAAAAATTGTAAAGCTCGACTCAAGCTTAAAATCAGAAATTGAAGCTCGAGTGAAACTCAAAAATCAGAAATTGGAGCTGATGCATGTTCAAAAAAACTTAAACTCTAAATATTCTTAAACTTAACTTGATTGAAGCTCAAACTCGAACTAAGTTCAAGCTCGAGCGTGAACCTAAATCGTAAGTACATGAAAACCTTATATTGTAATTTTTAAAATAATATATAAATGTTAATATTATTAAACATTTAACTTAAAAATTAAAATTTTAATATATATATATATATATAGTTGCTTGTAATCTTTTCAAGTCGAATATTAAGTAATTCGCTTCGACTCGTCAAAAATTCGAGTCATGTTCAAGCTCATATCTCTTGTTCATTCAGTTTGAGAGTTGACCGAACTTTAATGAAATCAAACTTGAATAGTTTAAAATTTGTCTCGTCTCGAAAATCAGAAATTGGAGCTCAAGCTAGAGTTCGAAAAAACATCACCTCTAAATATTCTTAGACTTAACTCGATTGAAACTCAAACTCGAGCTAAGTTCAAGCTCGAGCGCGAACCTAAATCGTAAGTACATGAAAATCTTATATTTTAATTTTTAAAATAATATATAAATGTTAATATTATTAAACGTTTAATTTAAAAATTAAAATTTTAATATATATAATTTTTTAGTTGCTTGTAATCTTTTTCAAGTCGAATATTAAATAACTCGTTTCGACTCGTAAAAAATTTGAGTCGTTCAAACTCAAATCGAGTTCATTCAATTTGAGAGTTGACCGAACTTTAATGAAATTGAACTTGAATAGTTTCAAATCTGTCTCGTCTCATTTAGTGTTCTTATAACTGTCCTTATACACCCGTTCGATCCATCCCGGATCAACATAATAATCTAAAAGATGTTTGCCAAATTTTGGGTGGTTTTTGAAAAATTGTCAGGTACCATGGCTTGCACCACGAACAGATGGGGACCAACTTCTGTCTCTTCATGCCTTTGTTTGATGCCATGGGGGGTACACTTAACAGCAACTCATGGCAGCTGCACAAGAAAATTAGTTCAGATTCAGGTAGTTGCACCTACATTTTCATAGCTTTTTGAGATCTGGGAAATTAATTTTGGAGTTGATGGTGAATGCAGGAAAGAACGGGAGGGTACCAGATTTTGTGTTCTTGGCACATGTGGTGGACATAACATCGGCCGTGCATGTCCCTTTCGTCTTCAGATCATTCTCATCCGTACCCTTCTCCACTAGGATCTTTATATTGCCTCTTTGGCCTTTCACTTTCTTGTTCATGCTGTTGATGTGGGCTTGGTCTAAGGCTTTTCTAGTTACTTTCTACAACCTTAGAGGCTATTTGCACCAGATGTGGGTGGTTCCTAGGTTCGGCTTTCAGGTTCGTATTTGAATTTGAATGTAAATATGTTAGGCCGGAAATTTTTAATTGTATTGTCAAAACTACCTTTTAATAGAAAGGTCAATTTGATTCCTATTTTTTTAAAATATTTTGATCTTAGTATTTCATTTTGAGACAAAATATCTTCTAATTGGTAGAAAACCATTAGTTGGCCAACAACGATCCTTATCGTTGACAAGTCTAATGTTTTTAAAGTGATGATATGATACATATCATATCAATACTTTAGATATGTAACATATGTTACGCCATCACTTTAGATATGTGACAAGTACACATCATCACTTTGAATACTATCTCATCACTTTAGAGATGTGACATGTATTACATCATTATTTTAGACATATAGTATGTGTCACATTATTTCGTTGGACATGTGAATGTGTCACACCAACATGAGTGTTGATCGTCAGTCAATTAATAATTTTCATTCCAACAGTAATATTTTTTTTTCAAAATAAAACGTTTGGGTGAAAGTGTTCCAAAAAAGATATGGACTAAAATGATTATTTAATCAAAAGTTACAATAAATTTTTAATATTATGCCAAATTATAATTGCAAAGAGAATGAGCATAGGATTAATGAGCTTGAGCATGACAATGTTTTGCAGTATTTCTTACCATTTGCAATGGAAGGCATCAACAAGCGCATAGAGGAGGCCATTCTAAGGGCTGATAGAATAGGGGTGAAGGTCATCAGCCTTGCTGCCTTAAATAAGGTCGCTACTTTTCTAAGATTTTCTGGTACTGTACTATCTCTCTAGTTTAGCTTCTCTCAATGCTTCTCTTGTGTAATGCCTGCAGAATGAAGCCCTTAATGGAGGAGGAACACTGTTTGTCGAAAAGCACCCGGACCTGAAAGTGAGAGTTGTCCATGGCAATACCTTGACGGCTGCTGTTATTCTTAACGAAATTCCTAAAGATGTCGAGGAAGTGTTTTTAACCGGAGCCACTTCGAAGCTCGGCCGAGCCATCGCCCTTCACCTTTGTCGGAGGAGAGTTCGTGTTCTTGTGAGTCTTCTACCAATATTGCATCCTTTTATTTCCAATAGGCTAATCGAAGTTGATCGGTTATGAAACTTTCGACATAACGTGCAGATGTTGACTCTGTCAACCGAGAGGTTTCAGAAGATACAAAGAGAAGCCCATGTGGACTGCCAAAACTACCTTGTACAGGTGACCAAGTACCAGGCGGCCAAAAATTGTAAGGTATGATATACAACTTCCACTCTCATCTCCTATGAATATGAAATTTAGTTCATTGAAACACAAAAAATGGAAAGAGGAAGAATGAGACATAATGCTAAAAAATCTTCTAACTATTTAATTAAATAGTCATTTTGACTCTTATTCATTTTTAGAGTATTTTGGCCCCCAATATTCTTTTTTTTTTGGGGGCAAAAGATTCATCTGTGGATAAAAACCGTTAGTCAACAAACGGTTAAAGTGACTATCTAATTAAACATTAGGGGCATTTTTATTTTAAATGAAATTGTATGATGAAAATACTAAAAAACGAATAAAAATTAAAATAATTGTTTAATCAAACATTGAATTTATATTTTTGATACTATGCCAAGAAATGATTGAGTTATGTACTAGACATGGATCGTGGGCAAGTGGATAACGCCGAGGCAGCAAAATTGGGCACCAACGGGAACTCATTTTCATCAATTTGTGGTGCCACCCATTTTGGCATTCAGAAGAGACTGCACCTACGGTGATCTGGCTGCCATGAGATTGCCTGATGATGTTGAAGGCCTTGGAAGCTGTGAGGTGATCAATCTTTCTCCTTAATCATCCATTTTTCTTTATCACCACTAAGGATGGATCGAAAGAAACAGGCAAAATAGTGCCTCTGAAATTTTAAACTTTCTTATAATTTAGATTTTTTTAATATTTTATATTGATAATCTATTTTTATCTTTAAAAATTTATAAATTCATCTCTTAACATAAATTTATATGTCCGTACAGTACACGATGGAAAGAGGAGTGGTTCACGCATGCCATGCAGGAGGAGTGGTTCATCAGCTAGAAGGATGGACACATCACGAAGTCGGGGCGATCGACGTCGATAGGATCGATCTTGTGTGGGAAGCAGCTATGAAGCATGGTTTAAGGCCAGTGTCGAGCACCTAAACAAGCGAAAAAGAATGCCATGAAAGAAAAAATAAAACCAAAACAAAGAAAGAAAATGAATTTAGGTCTTGAAAACATTAACGTCAATGCCAAATTTTTACCATTGTGAAAGATTCTATATATATTTCTACCAAGGGAATACTAATTAATACACCCTTTGGATTTGTTTGCACTTGTGTGTGTATCAGAAAATGAACTGCCACCTTTTTTAATTGAAGTCTCCGTCTTAACCCAAAAAAGAAGCAATGAACCGATTCTCATACATTGGAGAGTAAAGTTCAGTATAAAAATACATTTTAGTTTGTTATTTTGCATAAACTGCATTCTGATTATTTAGTTTATTTCATACGTTTTTAATTAATTTTAGAATGGTCATTGAACTTTTAGGATACTTTCACTTTGATCATCGAAATTTATTTATTTTTATTAGAATCAGTGTTGTTAGGAAAAACTTCCACTTCAATTATTGTACCGTAGAACCATTAACGCCAACTGATATGGCACGTTACATGTCAAAGATAGTTGAATCAACAGTACACTTGTCATTCTTTTAATAAACTAATATCTTCCGGTAAGATAACAACACGTGTTGTGATCTTGTCGATGTTATAATATACCTACAATCGGTTTAGAATTTTTTTTCAACGATAAAATCACAGGAAATAAAAAATTTGGAGTTCACCAACCACGGAAGATGGAGGCCAACACATCCAATGCAGTGATTGTTTATAAATTTTCGAGTTTAGAGGTTTAGACAGAGAGATTATGTGATGTTTTTAAGAAAGAAAATAAAATTAAAAGAGAAATACGAAGACTGTTTTAAAAGTTCGGAAGCTGGGTGGAACCCAATAGGTCAATAGCCTAGCGAACTCCTGCTTGTACAAATTTGGCCTAATTTTTTTAGGGAGAACAATATTTAATTTTGTTAGAAAAGTATGAATGAATTAATGTTTTCAAATCATATCTATTCAACAATACTCTTCATGAAAAAATTAAATCTTTTTATAAAAAAGGATAAACCCTTTCATAAAATTAAAAATCAAGTCATTTCATGAAAAAAATGTCAAGCCCTTTAATAAAAAAAAGTTAAGTCTTTTGATCAAAAGGTTAAGTCATTTCATTGAAAGGTCTTAACCTTTCAATCCAATTCCTCTCCCTATATAAAGGCTAAGTTGTGACACATTTTGAACATAACTTTAAATTCCTTTAATTTATTTTCTTTCACGTCGTTTCCTTTCATTTTGTTGGGATTTAAGAAGCTCAAAATTGACAACAAAAAATATTGCCAAGAGGGGGTAAATTGGCAATTTAAAGTTTAGGGAGTCAAGAGTATAAAGATAGGGAAATTTGCACAAAGAATTATAGTGGTTCGGCTTTCTCAATCAAAGTCTACATCCACTACCTAAGCTTCTCACTTAGGATTTTCCAACAAATCCACTAATTTGTTATTTCTTTTTCAAGGACAAAGAAATAACCTTTACAAACTCCCTATCTTTTCAATGGCTGAGATAGAACCAAAACCTCTTTACAAAAAGATAAAACAAGTAAACATTAACATTAAAACCTCATGGAAGGTGTTTACAAATTAAAGCTCACAAAACACAACTATTTACAAGAGAAAGAAAATAAAGAGTGAAAAAACTTTTCTCTTGTGTTCGATTGCTTGGATAGGTGTTCCAACATTCTTCAAGTGTCCTCAACTTGTATTTATATGTTGGAATTAGTGGTCGTTTCTAGCCGTTGGGGATGATTTGGAGCCGTTGGGATGTAATTTCATGCAAAATAAAACTGCCTAGAACAGAAGGTATCGATACTCCTACAGGGAGTATTGATACTACATTTGTTATTTTTAAATCAAATAGTCGTTAGGGCTTGATGGTATCGATACTGTGATCATGGTATCGATACTACTATGTAAAGTAGTATTGGTACCCCCTTGGGTATCGGTACCTATTTTGCATTTTGGAATTTGAGTTGTTTGGAAAACATCTGGTAGTATCGATATTACCTAGAGAGCATCAATACTTCTCTTACCTTTGGTATCGATACTAAGTTAACAATATCGATATTGTTCATGTAGTATCGATACTGTATGAACATTATCGGTACTACATGCGTGAAAAAATATTTTTTGCTCAAATTCTAGTCTATTGGACTTTGAATTATTTTTTAAAGCTTTGAATAAATTCAATCAAATCAAAAACATTTTGCCTTAATTTATTATATCAAAATATTAGAAAATATGGTTCAACAATCTACCCCTTTTTGATATAACAAAACATTTGAAAAATATTGTTTTTGGCAAAACTTTCCCTTAATAAAACTTTTAATGAAAAAGAGACATATTTTGGAAAATATAAAACTCCCTATTTTTCATTATTGAAATTGAGTTTTTCAAACCATACTTCTCCCCCTTTTTGTTATATCAAAAATAATTCAAACTTTAAGTTCAAAAATAACAATGGAGAGTAAGTGGTAAAATTGACACTAAAATCATTTGAAAAAACAAAAGTTCCCCCTTAATAAAAGCATTCCAAAACAAAAAATTGACTTGTAAAAGCTTGACACAAAAATTGGATTTCAACAAAGATGAACAAACATGTTAGGAACATATGAAATTCAATATATCCAAGTCTAAAATACTTTATGCAATACCAATTGTTGAAATTAAGTCTATATGCATAAAGTTATCCAAAAATGTTATGCATTTGAAAATTTGATATCAATTGTTAGAGAGATATCATTTACATTCAAAACAAATTTTAACCAAAACTTCATTATAATGAACTAAAAATTATGAAAAATCATTAACTTTAGACAACGTTCATCATAACATATTTTTAACATACATGACATGAAAAAAAACAACGCATAATCATTTAAGATCAAAACTTATGCATGCTTAAAACAAATAGGCAATCAATTAATCAAAACAAAAGCATTAAATTTGGTATCCAAATTGCTTTGGATCCTTAGACGTTAGTTTCAATGCCCCTTGTTTCCATTGGAACCTATACTTGTTTAATTTTAAAATGTTTTCCTCTCTTTAAAGGACAAATATGTTCCTTGTGACCATGATAATGACAATGTGAGCATTTTGTCATTATTAAACTAGATGAATTATTTAAAATGATTTCTTTTTCTTTTGTTAAGCATTCAAGCTTAACTTTTAAATCGAAATTTTATTTTTCAAAACTTTCAATTTTTATTTTTGAAATCTCTAAATCCTTTTTCAAAATTTCATTTTGGTTTTCAAAATCCATTTTAGATTTCAAAAGAAAATCATTTTCAACTTTAAATTTAGAAATCAATTTCTTGTATTTGGAGTTCATGGTCTCAAACTCTAAAAATAATTCATCGTATGCATCTTGTACCTCATTAAAAGAATAAGAATTTGATTAACTAGAGTTAGAAGATACCTTGGGCTCTTCATGAGCCATTAAAGACACCACCTTTGTTGGTTCTTCTTTCTTATCTCTATGGATTTCCTCAAGCTTATTCAAAAGCTCCTTGGCATTCAAACAAGAAGAAACTCCTTCATAGATATCGGGACCAAATGCACAAAACAACAAGTGCATGCCTTGGCATTTTGTTGAGCTTTCTTCCATTCTTGGTCACTCAACTTCTTCGTCTTATTTGTTGGAGAAGAGTATCCCTTCTCGATCATATCCCATGCATCAAGATCATTGGATTGGATGAATAACTTCATTAATTTCTTCTAAAGATGGTAGTTTGCTCCATTGAAATATGGAGGCTTGTTGATCGGTTGAGAGTCGTCCATTTATAATGACCTGGAGGTGGAAGTCATCTTCTTGGTTGCTTCTGGAATTTGTAGAACTACTTCAAGGATCGTCTCAAGGTTGTTAAACCTTCTAATGAGTCAATCTCCGATACCAATTGTTGGGATTCAAGAAGTTCAAAATTGACAACCGAAAATATTGCCAAGAGGGGTGAATTGGCAATTTAAAGTTTAGGGAGTAAGGAGTATAAAGACAGAGAAATTTGCACAAAGATTTATAGTGGTTTGACTTTCTCAACCAAAGTCTACATCCACTACCTAAGCTCCTCACTTAGGATTTTCCAACAAATCCACTAATTTGTTCTTTCTTTTTCTAGGACAAAGAGATAACCTTTACAAACTCCCTATCTTTTCAATGGCTAAGATAGAACCAGAACCCTTTTGCAAAATGATAAAAGAAGTAAACATTAAAACCTCTAAGAAGGAAGGTGTTTACAAATTAAAGCTCACAAAACACAACTATTTACAAGAGAAAGAAAATAAATAGTGAAAAAACTTCTCTTGTGATTGATTGGTTGGATAAGTGTTTCAACCTTCTTCAAGTGTCCTCAACTTGTATTTATATGTTGGAATGAGCTTGTGGTCGTTTATAGCCGTTAGAGATGATTTGGGCCGTTGGGGATGTAATTTTGTTCAAAATAAAACTCCCTAGAACAGAGGGTATCGATACTCCTACAAGAAGTATCGATACTACCTTTGTTATTTTTAAATAAACTACCTGTTACTAGTCGTTGGGGCTTGACGGTATCGATACTGTGATCATGGTATCAATACTACTATGTAAATTAGTATCGGTACCTATTTTGCATTCTAGAATTTGAGTTGTTTGAAAAACACCTGGTAGTATCGATACTACCTAGAAAGTATCGATACTTCTCTTACCTTTGGCATCGATACTACATGAACAATATCGATATTGTTCATGTAGTATCGATACTGTAAGAACAGTATCGGTACTGCATACGTGAAAAAATATTTTTGCTCAAATTCTAGTCTATTGGACTTTAAATTATTTTTGAAAACTTTGAATAAATTTAATTAAGTCCAAAAAACATTTTCCCTTAATTTTTTATATAAAAATATTAGAAAACATGGTTCAACACATTCCTTCAAAATTCTTCAAAATTCTTTTTTCGGTGATAGAGAGACAAAAATTGTGTTGATTGTTCACAATCTTTGTGCTTATTGTTGTGAAAATTTGTTGTTGTATCCTAGGAAACTGACGTCCAAC